CGTGAGTTCCCCTGGGGAGGTCAGGACTTGGTGAAATCAGAGCCCAGTTACTGATCAGTAAAACGTAAAGGGTCCTGGATGTGAGGCGGGACCTGCGCACAGCAGCAAGATCTCCGATAGTTCTTACCGAGCAAGGAAGTTCGAGAGCTGATTCCAAGTCAAAGGATCACTCAGGCAGAGGAGAAAAAAGCGAATCCTCCCCGGCTCCGCCCCAGACAGCAGCCCCTGAGTGGGCTGAGGCCTGAAAATGTTCAGGGCGAGGAAATCCCAGGGGTGCCAGTGACCGGGACCAGGCTGCGGGGTCGCTGCCCTGGCGACCTCCCCGCCAGGCTAACCCGGGCCGTGCCCCCTGCGCCTCCTTCCCCAGGTGTGCCTGTGCCAGGATGAGGTCACGGAGGACTACATCGACGAGAACACCACGGTGGACTACACTTTGTTCGAGACCGTGTGCTTCAAGAAGGACGTGCGGAGCTTCAAGGCCTGGTTCCTGCCGGTCATGTACTCGGCCATCTGCTTCGTGGGCCTGCTGGGCAACGGGCTGGTGGTGCTGACCTACGTCTACTTCAAGCGGCTCAAGACCATGACCGACATGTACCTGCTGAACCTGGCCATGGCGGACATCTTCTTCCTGCTGACCCTGCCCTTCTGGGCCTACAGCGCGGCTGCGTCCTGGGTCTTCGGGGTCTCTCTGTGCAAGATCATCTTCAGCATCTACAAGACGAGCTTCTTCAGCGGCATGCTGCTGCTGCTCTGCATCAGCCTCGACCGCTACGTGGCCATCGTGCAGGCCGTGTCCGCCCACCGCCACCGCGCCCGCGTCTTCCTCATCAGCAAGCTGTCCTGCGTGGGCATCTGGGTGGCGGCCACGCTGCTGTCCATCCCGGAGATGATGTACAGCGGCCTGCAGAGGAGCAGCACGGAGCAGGTACAGCGCTGCTCGCTGCTTTTCGACCAGGTGGAGTCCCAGATCATCATCCAGGTGGCGCAGATGGTGTTCGGCTTCCTGCTGCCCCTGCTGGCCATGAGCTTCTGCTACCTCGTCATCGTCAGCACCCTACTCCAGGCGCGCAACTTTCAGCGCAACAAGGCCATCAAGGTGATCATCGCCGTGGTCGTGGTCTTCGTGGTCTTCCAGATGCCCTACAACAGCGTGGTCCTGGCGCAGACGGTGGCCAACTTCAACATCACCGGCACCAGCTGCAAGCTCAGCAAGCAGCTGGACATCGCCTACGACGTCACCTACAGCCTGGCCTCCGTGCGCTGCTGCGTCAACCCCTTCCTGTACGCCTTCATTGGCGTCAAGTTCCGCAACGACCTCTTCAAACTCTTCAAGGACGTGGGCTGCCTCAGCCAGGAGCGGCTGCGACAGTGGTCTTCCTGCCGGCACGCGCGCCGGGCCTCCATGAGCACAGAAGCCGAGACCACCACCACCTTCTCTCCCTAGGGCCCCTCCGGCCGGACGGGAAGCCCTCTCTCCCAGGAGCAAAAGCAAGGACTTGGGACACCCCCAAAAGCTGCCGCGGGAGAGCAGTTCTGTTACCCCGAGACTGAGCGAAACCCTAGCTACCTCAACCCGGGCCGGAAAGAGAAGCCGGCCCCACAGCAAGGCCCCGTCCACGGACGGGGGGACGGGGCTGGGGAGCGGTAGGGCCGGCTGGAGCAAGGGACCTCTGGCCTCTGACCCCCTCCTGCTGTGGAGAAGAGGTCCCCCCAGGCAGAGTCCAGGGCGGGAAACCAGGCTTCGCCCCAAAGCCAAGACGGTCGAGGTGGAGGAAAGGGCCACGGGCCAACGCTGCATCCCTTCCTCCGCTGCTCTTTCCACGGCTGTCCGCGCCAGCAGGCGCCCTCCGAACGCTCCTGTCCGCACAGCCGCCCCTCCTGGCTCTGCTTCCTGTGGGCCAGGCCAGCTGCTCGCCTAACCCAAGGCCCACGTTCCCAGGCAGGGATCCAGAGCGGGGTGGCGTGCCGTCGGTCTCGGCCGTGCCAGAGGAGTGCAGAGGAGGGCAGGGAGGACATTTGGGGGATGGGGGGCGCGTGCTGGCTGCCAAAGGCCAGTGAGCTCTGTGCTCTCCGTGATGGAACAGAAAAGCACCCCTCCGTTTCTGCTTCCAGTTCATGGAGAGAGTACACCTTATTCATACACAAATAAAGTTTCCCCGGGGGAAATAACAGCTTTAAAAGCAGAGAAAACATCTTTGGTCCCGCAGATTGTGTTCCTCCTGGGCCTCCTTTCCCCTCCTCCCCAAGACACTGAGAACCTGTCCCGTCCAGTGGTGGCACGAGCCCAAGAAGGAGGGGAACAGCGCGAAGTCCACCTTCGCAGGTGCAGCCTGGGTGGCCGGCGGTGACCCGGAGACACCAGTCAGAGTGGAGGGGAGGGGAGGCTGACCTGTCCCCCACCCTCACCCCGGGGACAGGGCCTCAGCAGCATAAAGGGTCTTGGACTGGGCCGGTGAGAGGGGCATGTCCCTCATGACCCGGTGTGTCTCCCTGGGCTCCCGTGCTGTGACAGAATGCCACAGGCTGGGCGACTGCTAAGCCATGGAGGGCTGGCGCTGAGCTCCACCCCCCAGCCCCACATGAGGCCGTCTGTCCCACACACACGAGGCCGTGGCCATGTGGGTGACGTGCTCACAGGTGGGTGTGAGAGGAACTCGCACTCAGCCCCATGCAGGGCGGAGGAACCGTGCTGCAGACCAGATGTCCCTGTCACTGGGGCCCCGGCGTCCATCTGTGGTGTCCAGAGCAATGTGCGTCGCTCTGGGCCTGGGGAGGCACATGAGGGAGAGCACAGCTGTCCCAGCAGTGGCACCGGGCAGCAGAGGGACAGCCCACACGAGAAGGCGCTGCCGGGTGCGCCCCGTGCAGGGTGCGTGCTGAGGCTGCAGAAGGGAAAACAGCCCTCGTTCTGCCAGGGGGGTGCAACAGAGCGGCCAGGGAAGAGGAAGCCATGCCAGCAGCGCTTGCCCCCCCCCCCCGGCTGCAGATATAGTTTTCTGCAATAACCGGGCAGCTCCAGGCATTCACAGAGACGACAGAACCCCTGGCCATGTCGTTCCCCAAACTGGTGTCTCCGAAGTCCTACGCCACCTGACCCTCTCTCCCTTGCCGTCTCCACGTGCGTGCCTGGGCTTTGGGGGACCCCTGGGAAGAAGGAAAGGACCCGGGAGTCCCACCAAGCCTTCTCTCTCCCCCTTTGCATCTGTGTCCTGCCTGCGCCCCGTCTGGCTCCCTTTCATGCCCTCCCCGGCTGCAGCCCCCTTCGGCCACACGGCCACGCTCCCGCTGGTGGATCCCAGCACTGCAGGGCCTGGAAGATCCATGGGGCTGAGCTCATGCTTCTCTAGGTGGTGAAACTGAGGCCGGGTGAGAGGAGAGGCCTGGAAATGGGGGAGTCGCTTAAACAGTCCCCCAGGCGGCCGGAGGGCCTGGCAGGGTGGCCGGGGTGGGGGTGGAGCAGAGCCCTGGAGCCTGGCTGACCCCGCGTCTCCCCAGACTCTGCTGCTCCCCAGCTGTGTGACCTTCAGCTGTTGCCCAACTGCTCTGAGGCTCAGATTTCTCAACTGGAAAACGCAGAGTTGGGTAAACAGCACAGTGCCCGGAATGTCGAACGGGGAGGCGTCGGGGTGTGGGGGACATGGGGTGCCAGACTCCGCCACAGACCGTCTGGTTCGAGTCCCAGTGCTGCTCCTTGGCCTGGTCGTGCAGCCCGTCGGTGCCTTGGTTTCCTGATCTGTGCTATGGGCTGACGAATCGCACCTACCTCCCTGGGTGGTGATGAGGAAGAAATTAACCCACACAAGCGAAATGCTGAGCGACTCAGAGACAATCTTCGTTCGTCATCATTTAGATGTTTAAGAAACGTTAGTCCAAAAAAAAGAAAGTTGCTAACCTCAAAGCAACCACGTTCGATTCTTCAGACCACTTTGCATTCCCAGAGAATGAACACCACGCAGGAGGCAGCTTCCAGATGAGAAAGCCCGGCCCGCCCAGGGAAACGGATTTGTTAGTGTGGCGCTGCCAAGGATCAAACCCAGGCAAGAAGCAGGCTTGGCAATGACAGGGTTTCCCTGGTCTGAGCCCCTAGAAAAGCCCGGGGACAAACAGCGTCAGCTCCCTCACTCCAAGAGCACCCAGCCCCAGCCCGCCCAGCAGCTGTCTCGCAGGTCCAGCTCCTCTGCAGCCTCCCTGGGCCTGCAGCCCCCGGGCAGACACGGACAGGGCCACTGCCCGGCCTGTGCACAACCCGCCCCTGGCTTTTCTGCGCCGCAGGCTCCTGGGGCCTCTGTCCCTCGGGCGCTCGCTGGCCGGGCTCTTCCACGTGTCACAGCAGACCCACCCCCACCTCGGGGGACATGGCCGTCTCACGCAAGCAGGGAGGTGCCTGTCCACTCCACGAGAGTGGCACTGTTCCCTCGGGGGACAGCGGGTCCTGCGGCCGGCCCCCCAAGCGCGCCCACTGTGTGCCCGGTGTCCCTTCCCTGTGCATCAGGGCCGGCCCTGGACAGCCGTTATGGCCGCTCTCAGCGAATAGCAGACACCTCGAAGCCCAGCAGATGCTGCTGGTAGAATGGACGGCGCTTCCCGGCAGCCCAGGGGGGCTGGGAGCACAGGCCATTGCCCTTGTGGGGTTCGAGCCGCGGCTGGCATTGGACCCCCGGGACTGCAGTGCTTTCTGCGACCTGGCCTGACCAGCCCGAGGTCTGTGGTCCAGCAGGCGCTTGGGAGTCACCTCCACGGGAAGCAGTGAGCCCATGGCGGGATCACCCACTCCCCCCACCCCGACCCTGGCACCGGCTGGCACCGAACCCTGGGAAGCCAGGAGGAGGCATCCAGGAAGAGCCTTTGAGGGAGTGGATGGACAACTGCATTTCCTGAGTGCCAGGGATGTGCCAAGGACAGCGCAAAGCACGCCACCTCCTTTGGGCTCGGAGAGGCTCACAACCGCGAGAGCCACACAGAGTGATTTCAGCCACGTCTCGCTGGCCTCCCAAGTCCTTGCTTTGGCCACTTTATTTCGCTCTTCACCTAAACAGCTGTTTGTTTGGCACCAGATGTTTCTGAACCCCTCCCGGGTGCCAGGCACCGTACCAGGCACAGTCCATCTGTCTCAGAACCTGCGGGGCACAGAGCTCTGACCCGGGGGAAGGAATCCGCAGAGACATGAGCCTCCTCTGCCGTGCAGAGCCCCCCTCCCCACCAGCTGGCACGCCCAGGGCTCTGCCACCCCACTGCAGCCTTCTGCCCCAGGCCTGCTTCTCACACAGGCGTCCTGGCTCTGCCCTGGAGCTGTGGCCCCGGGGGTCTCCTTCTTTGTCTGGGTGGGGTCCCCCCAGGGCAGGGTTCTGGGCCTGGCACTGCTGGAAGGGGGTGGGTGAGGAAGCCGCTCCACCCCCAGCTGAGGTTTCTGGTGGGGCCAAGGTGGCAGCAGGTGGAGGTGTTTGTCACCCTTCCAACCAAAGCCCCCGGGCACCATGGGAACAACAGTAAAGGCGCCGAAAATAAAACCCACCTCTCCCTCGGTAGGTGTGGTGGGGCCATTCTCACGGCTGAAAGTGTCCGGGTTTCCTGCATGGGCACACAAAAGAGTAGCTGCTCAACAGTCACCCAGGAACACCACAATGCACACGCACACACACTCGTGCACACACACTCGTGCACACACGTCCAAACAGGGTCCCCACACAAAAGCCCACCCCTGGGTTTGGTGCTGAAATTCTCGACTCTTTCCAAAAGAGGACATTTCCCTTTTCGTTTTGTTGCACACCAGGTCTCGCGTGCCACAGTGCCCTCCCTCTGGCACTGTTCAAAGCTCATCCAGCAGCACCGAAAACTGGGCCGTGAGGCCACCCTGGCCATGCACCCCAGAAGCACACAGACCACAGCCCCAGGCCAACTACCTCAGTGTGATTCCTCTGACCTCACTCTGGGGAGAGCAGATGGAGGCACGGGGCGGGGAGGCGGGGGAAGAAGAGGGTTCACTTCTGTGCCCGGCGTCCTCAACAGCCCTGGCTTCTCCCTCAGGCCTCGGCTCACAAGGCTGCCGGGCAGACTGAAGACCGGTCCTCCACCCCAGCCCGATAGCCAGGGGGCTCTCGGGAACCAGGCAGACACAGGGACATTGCAGGGGTGCACGGCACACGGAGGCCGTGGCCTCTGCCCTCCTGGGCGTCCCCAGAGCCCTTGCAACCTGACGCTTGGTTCAGAGATGCCAGACCCCTCATTAGGGCCACCGAGGAGGCTCGGAGCGTGTTTACTTCTCAGGTTCCCCTCCCCTAGCTTTCCAGCCAGAGCAAACACAGGTCCCTTCAGGGACCTCCGGCATGGACCTCCGGCATCTCTGGCTCTTTTCCATCCCGCAGCCCCCGCCCCGAACTGAGCAGGCCCCCGCGGCCTGGAACTTTCTCTTCCTGCCCCGCATTCTCCCTCAGCCCAAACTTCCCCCCACAGAACCCGTCCCAAGGCTGCGGGACAAAAAGGCCATTCCTCCTGTCCCCTCCCGTCGTCCGCACCCGCGGTGGGAGGAGGCCACCTGAGTGCCCACCGGCCCAACCCTTGGTTTCCCTGGAGTCTCTCCAGGGCACAGTCACAGATCCTCCTGTACCCCACACACCCACTGTTGGTTTACTGGAGGAAACTGAGGCACTGGAGGGGGTGGCAGCAGAGCGGGGCCTAGGTCCCTGAGACGCAGCCTCCAGGAGACCAGAGCCAGCGTCTCGGTGTCCCCACCACCCCCCCATTCACTCACAGCCAGTCCCATGCTTGGGGGGGCCGGGGGCCAGGCCACTTGGGGGACCGGACAGGTAGGGACGTCTGGTCACCAGGTGCTCCTGGACAGGGAGGAGGGGCAAAGAGAGCCCCAGGTCCCCCCCCATAGCGTGACCTCAGCGAGTGTCTGTCTTCTCCTCAGCCTCAGTTTCCCCGTTCCAAGATGAGTGACACTGTAGACTCCCTTCCCCGAGCCATGGCTGCAGAGCGGTGGGGAGGTCAGGAGTGTCCCCCTCGGCACTGTAGGGGCGTGTTTGCCAGAGAGAGGTGGAAATCGGCCCCTTGTGACATGGGGGACACCTGCTTTAATGCACAGAATTTCAGAGCTCAGAGTCCCCTGCCCCCGGCATGATGCCCCTGCCCCCGGCATGATGCTCCACCCAGCAGCGGGCTCCAGTCCCTCAGGCCTCTTCTGCCTGGCTGACCTCACTCAGGGCAGGGAGCATCAGAGGTCAAGAGTTTGTGGAGTGAATCCATGAATGGTGAGTCTGGGCTTCCTGTGCCCCCATGGCAGGGACGACCTCCTCGTGCGGCTAAAGGTAGGGCACCCTTGCAGACACCATCCTGCAGGAGCCCAGGCAATGAATGGCCCCTGACTCTGCCTTCTACCCTCTCCTTCCCCCAGCACAAAGTCCCAGCAGGCACCTCTGCAAATAGATGCTGTTTCCATGGGAACCGAAGCCCTCCTTCGGTCATTTCCAGCACAGGCTGCACAGTGTGGCCGGCAGCTGTCGGGGCTGTGCCCGGGACAGGGCCGCTGAGCTGATCTTGCGAGGCCATCCCCGACTGTCCCTGCCAATGGCCACAGGCACCCACAGCCCCTGGGTCCCCTCTGCAGGGGTGGGGGTGCCCCAGAGGTGGGAGGGGCCAGGGCCCTCCTTGGGCTAGCCCTGGACTGGGAGACAGAGTAGGGGACCGAGGGCTCCGGGCCCCAGAGGGCGGCTGGCAACGGGGAACAGGCGGGTGTGGGCTGCCGTGGCCGCAGGCCTCAGCAGAAACGGAGGCCCCCTGTGCAGCTGACGCAGCTCCCCTTGTCACCCCAACAGTCCACGATTTCCCTTCAGCCTCAGGGTAGCTGCCCAGGTGCCCCAGGGACCCCAAAAGGTGCTTCTGAAGTCGGGGTGGAAACTGGGGTGCCTCTGAACCCGCTCCTCGACCTGTTCCTGTGACCTCATGGCAACACAGGGCCACAACAGGGACGCCACGGTCCCCCATCCTTCCCCGGCGTTGTGGGCAAGGTGAGGACGGCGGTGTGAAAGTGTTTGGTGGCGGGGGTGGCAGCAATGCCCTGGCCTGTTGTTGTTGTTGTCACCTGTGAGGCAAGTCCCACCCCGGGCCAACCGCGGGGCTTTCCACACTTCGACCCTCCCGCAGTGCCGAGTGGGAGGCCTCGCACCTGGGACAGGGACGGGGAGGGACACAGGGGACAGGATGTGGCCAGCTGTGTCCGCTGCCCAGACGGGCCGCTCTTTCCTCTGCTCTCTGGGGACCCAACAGCCTGGGGGCCCAGACTCCAGTCCTGGGCCACCTCCCACTGCCCTCGTGGTCAATGACAACAGCAAAACCACTGACCTGATTTTCTGTAAAGAGGAAAAGATAATAGGGCGCCTCCGAGAGTGCCAGCTCACACACACACACACACACACACACACACACGCACACACACGCACACGCACACAGACGCACACTGGAAACTTTCACTGTCTTGTTGACAGGAACCCAGCCCCAAGAGGGAGCTCCCCGGGTACAAAGCGCAGTGTTTACCTTCGGTCCGTCACGGGCCCAGGTTCCTGGAGGCCTGGCAGCAGAAACAGGGCAGGTGTGAACTGTTTCCCCGCTGGGGTACACAGCGTGCCAAGTGTCTGAGTCTCTGGGGTGTCTGCTCTCTCCCCAGACCCTTGCTGCGCTAGGCTCTGGAAAGGGACCATCAGACCCTGGTCCCGACAGGGCCTCGGGGAAACCTGTGTGCAGTGAAGTCAGTGTCTTCCGCTCCCAGAGCTCCTCCACTCTCGGGGTCCTCACAACTCCCTGGGGCCAGGTCTGCCTCCCCGAGAAGTCAGGAGAGGGTCAGGGGGAGTCCTTGACTGCTGGTAACTGCGCCTGCTTCTCACCTCCAACAGGGGGCAGCACCTGCCACTCACCCAGCCCCAGACCCTGGGCTCCAAGCAATTCCCAGGCCCAGAATGGACCCAGGGGCCGACGCAGCCCGGAAAGCATCTGCCTCGAACCCCCCCAGGGCTGCAGCTGGGTGCTAGTGCGAAATGCAGCCCCAGGCCCTCGGAGTCCAAAGCTGCCTGTCAAACCTGGACGGATAAGGTGGAGGCTGGCAGCTGCTCCCCAAACTGGCTCAGCCCAGGCCCAGGCGTGGTGCCCAGATGCAGCCTCCCCAGCCTCCCCCTTCCTGCCAAGAGCCGAGAGAGTCTGGCAAGGCCAGTGCTCTCGAGGCCCCAGGCCCACATGGAAGAGCAGAATGCAGCTCCCTCTGCGCCTGCCCCCCAGGGCCTCCTTCACCTCCTTCAGACTCCGTCCCTCTCAGAACCAGGGGCAGCGGGTGACAGCGGGCCACGCGCAAGATTTTTCCTGTCTGGCTGAAGCGTTCAGCCCGTCTGACTCAACCACCCTCTAGCAACCAAGGTGACCCTGTTCCCCAGTTCTCCCTGTCCTTGCCCCTGGCATGGGCGCCCTGGTTGGCTCCCTACGTCAGACGAGAGCACAGACTTGGAGCCCACTCCACGTGGCAGACAAATGAGCGCCTGGCACAGCAGGGAGGCCAAGAAGGTGAGGCAGAACCTGAAAGCCACTGACAGCTACCCACAGCCCTGGGCGTGAACGCCCGAGATGCAGTGGTGGCCATTGGCACTGCGTGTGAAGTAGCCACTGCTCTTCTCAGCGGCCACCAGGGGGTGAGCTGGGACACCCAGGGTGAGGGGCACCCCAGAGCTGGCCAGTGCTGCCACAGACCCCAACTAAGGGTCTGCCCCTGGACTCACGGCACCATCCCCTGGCAGGGGAGCCAGTGAGAAGGGGACTCCCTTGGCTGCAGACAGGTCACCGCACCCCAAGCTCAGTCCTCAAGGCAAGCATCACATGGCAAAGGAAGGGAGAGGCAGAGGAAGGGCGGAAGAGAGGGAGGGAGGGAGGGAAACTGAGGCTGGAAGAGATGAGCAGCACGCACATGGTCACCTGGCCAGTGAGCCGCAGACCAGGGTCCGACCAACCACTGGCGCCACAAGGGAGGCCCCGGTCCATTCCCGTCTTCTTCCAGGAACTTCCGGACCACCCTGTCCTGGGCCATCCGATCCGAGCACCTGCCGTGAACCGGACCTCTGCTCTGCAGCCGCCCTCCCTCCTGTGACACACGCTTGTGCCAGGGCCGTCACTGGCCGGGGCCCACAGCCCGTGTGGCACAGCCCTTGCCACCAGATCGGGTGGCACCTGGCGTAACAACAGGCACAATGGCACAGACCCCACGGCCCCAAGCATCCCTCCAGGTGGGCAGAAGTGCGGGGTTCCCCAAAACATTGCAGGCAGCGGATGGAAAGGGACAGGGGCTCCCCCATTCCCTGCCAGGCTGAGCTGGGGGCAGAGCTAATCTCCCCACCCATGCCAGTCCCAGTCTGGGAAACAAGTATTTGCCAGCACAGCTAGGCAGTTGCCTCATCTGACCGTGAGTGGTCAGCACTGCTGCTCTGTGTCGCCCTGGGGAAACTGAGGCCCAGAGAGGAGTCCCACACGGCAGGGACGGAGCTGAGGGAAGCCAGGTCTCTCTGGTTCTCCTGGCCTGCTGCCTCCCTAGGACTCAGGCCTCTGGGTGACAGGGGATCACGGGGTCCTCGAGACCAGAAGCAGAGCCTCACTGGCCCCCAAGTGTGGGCAGTGTCCCGGGCCACTCTCCAAGGGTCCCCAAAGCGCAGGATCCCATCCCAGGACCAAGGCAGCCAGGAAAGTGGGTCCCAAATAGAGGAGCCCCAGCGCACTTCAAGGTCGCCTCTGCTCAAAAGCCTTGCGGGGTGGGGGCTCTGCCCTCCTCCTGCCTCAGGACCCCAGGTCTGTGCCGCAGTGGCTCACAGTATTCCCCAGGGCCATGGTTCTCCTGGTGACTACCCAACCCAGGCACTCCGTAGGCGTCCAGCAGCCCTGGGCAGTGGCACCGCTCCGCCTGAGCCCCTTTGGGCCGGGGTGGCCCAAATCCAGACCCCGGGGGTGACAGTGTCCTTGAGCGAGGCCTCCCCCTGTACGGCTGGCCGCAGATGCCAGCCGGGAGGGAGCCTGCGCAATCTGGGAACAGCACAGAGCCCAGGAATGTCCCTCCCACAGCATCTGGCGCGGCTTCCTTCCTGGAAGGAGAACAAAGCAGGAAGGGGCGATAAGGCCTCTCCCCGCTTGGCCCAAGGGGCCCGGAGCCGCCGGCAGCTGCCAGGTGGCAGTGGGGCGGGGAGGAGGCGGGGCAGTCGTCTTGCCGTCCTCCTCCCCCGCCCCCGCCTCTCCCTGAGTACCTGTTCCCGGGCCCTCCAGCGACATTTCGGGTCCTCCCCACCCCTTCGCGCTGGACGCCTGCCCACTCCTTCCTGCCCCTTGACACTGCTGTGAGCCCCAGGCTGCCAGCCACCAGTCCTCCCGGGCCCCACTGCGCCCACCCTGGAAGTCCTCTCCCCACCCCACTCCACTGCGCAGGCCCTGCCTGACCCCTCTGTCTCTACCCTCCCAGCCTGCTGTCACCTCTCCCCAGGCTCATGGCACTGCCCCAGGGGACAACAGTGACCCCAGGGGGACGTCTTTGTCTCAAGGACCCCCGCTTCCTCTTCCGCCGTACCTGGAGTGGACACTGGGAGGACACGGTGACCACTGGGTGTGAGCAGGCCTGGCACTCCGGACCTCGCTCTCTCCAGGCCCACCCCCTGGATGCCGATACCCAAGAGATCTCAGCAGCCACCTGCTAAGGGAAGTTCCAGGGCCATCACCACCTGGTCTCGGCACTCAGAGCTCCACAGCCCACCTGGACTGAGGTGAGGGAAAGAAACGCTCGTCTTGTCTCCTGGCCACTGCACGTCCGTGGGCCTGTCTGCCACACTGCTCGCCTCTGCTGACCCACGTCTGTGGCACACTTCCTGTCTGCCGGGAACTGTGGGATGCATCTGGCCAAATGTACTTCTCTCCCAATTAGGTCCCATTTTACAGATGAGGAAACTGCAGTTTAGGAAGAAGGCCAGGACCCGCCATGCTGCCCGGAGCATAAGCTTGGACACGGTTGCCTCCCTGTCCTCCCCAAGATCACCGTCACTGGCCTTCTCCCTGCAGGACAGTGTCTGAGCCACACCACGTGTGACTGCTCTCCGGCCTCCATGGCCCGGTGCCAGTGAGGTCCTGCAGAGGAGGGCGCTTTCTGTCAATGGTCACCCTGAGCTCCGGGATGCTCCGGGGTCTCCCACCTCAACCCACTTACTGCCTGTGGACAGGCGAGGCTCCAAGGGACTGGGCCTGTGAGGCCATCACCCCACTGTCCCCCACCCTGCCCTGCTCAGGGGATGGGGGGGCTGCAGGCATTGGGGGGCCCCGCGTGAGGAAGATGCTGTTCCGCTGCTTCAGCCACAGTCTGGTGCTCCTTTCTTCGGGGAAGTGGGTGGAGCAAGATAAAAGAATGGAAGAAAAAGCCCGCCTCGGGCTGAGGGAATGAAGATCAGAAAACATCAAAACACTTTCTACTGAAAGCCTGGGTATCTCCGCCAAAACCCCGCCGCAGAGACTGAGGGGAAACTCGGGCCCAGCTCAGGAGGCCTCCAGTCTCCCTCAGTGATCTTCGTACCAACCCCTCCGCCTGAAAGCTGGGGACACCTCCGCTCCGGTCCCCTCTGCCCTCTGTCCATCCCCACAGCCCCTCCGTCACCCATCAGGGACATGGAGAGGGCTCTGGTCAGTTTCCTTCCCAGACCTGAGGACCTGGCCACCCAGCAAGGACCTGGGACCTCACCGTGACAAGAAGTGGCTTCAGATACACGCCCAGGACACGTGTGTGCACACAGGCAGGCCAGGGGGGTCTGCATGTAAGTGTGTGGAGACCCACAGCCCCATCCTCTCCCAGCCTGAGTCATGACGTGCCGCTTCCTGTCTTATCTGCAGCTCCAGACACCTCCCCCGCCTTTTCCCTCACCCCAGACAGATGCACACACACACACACACACACACACTCGCACAGCCCGACTGGTTTCCCCCTAGCTGGGAGAGAGTAAGAGAGACCCTGCTTCCACAAGGGGGCGACTGAAGACCACCAGACTCCAGGTCTCCACACCAAGGTTGCCACAGAGAAATCTGGGGAACCAGCGTGGGGGGCGCCTCCTATGGAAACCCAGAGCGGGGATGGGAAACAGGCTGAGAGATGGAAAATAATGGAAGTGATTTCAATAGCTGCTCTCTGTGCCCACCAATTGTTCACGTGCAGGTCCCCGGAGTGACCACTTATTCTGTAATAATCACTGATTTAAGCCTTCCCTCACTTCTGTGGGGTCTGCAGTACCGTAATTCCTATTTATAGACAGATAAAGCAGCCAATGAACCAATGTCTGCACGGGATTAAGTAACTTGCCAAGGGTCCCTCAGGGAGGAGCAGAGTCGATATTGGAACTCGGGACCTGCCATCCACTGTTCAAGCCTCACACCACCCTCTCTGCTCCCTGAGGCTTGAATCTCTGGCACCCTGCTGCTCAGCTGTGTGCTGGACCCCACTTCCCTCTCCTCGAGGACCCTTTGGGTGGTTTTATAAGGACCCCCAAGCTGATTTCCTAGCTATGTGACCAGCTCTGAATGGCAGGTCTGTGCCTTTAGAAAGCAGTGAAGCGATTCCTAGCAAAGAACAAAAAGCTCTCCCTTCCCCTTTGACCCCATAATCTCATTCCCAGGAACTCAGTCCAAGGAGAAGAAACAGTTCAAGTGGAAGCCAAGTATTATCTGCACAATTACGTGCGCTGAAGTCTTTATTTAAAGGTCAGAAGCTGGGAACCAAAATAGGGAAGTGGCTTAGTAAACTGGGACATTCGCACAATGGGCAATCAGGGCCCAGGGAGCTGCAGCTGCGCGTGACCGCCAGCAGGTGAGTGAAAAGTGCTCTGGCCAAACGAGGTTTATCACCAGCTAAGTCAGCTCTGAGAGAGGGAGAGAGAGAGAATCTCATTCTTGACCTTTAATTTCCAAGCCTCCTGGTCCTGACAAGGTATAGGGCTTCTTCTCCGAGACTGGTTTTGATTGTTGGTTATTGATTTTCACCTTTCACACTGTCCTTGTTATTAAACAATAATTCCTCATATAAATTCCACGAAGGGAGCCCACGTGGGTTCTGCTCTCGGGTGGGAGCCTGCGAAATTCACACACGGACCCCTCCTCCCACCCCCCATAACGATGCCAGGTGTGGTCGAAAAACACAGCGAACGTTCATATTTTTACATCTTGAAAACCTATTGCAGTAAAAGACACGCTACTAGGAGTCCCCTGAAAATCCCTCCCTCAGCTCTGCACACACTCACCTCATCGTCCTTGCCAATTTCTGAGCCAGTTCTGGAGCCCTCTTTCGTGAATGTCTTTACTTGCTGCTTGGATGTCCTGAATCAGTTAAAAATGTTTACTTCTTATGTTCATGCTGACATTGGGGGAGAGCCGAAGCCACACAGTGCCGGATCGGGTTAAGAAGGTGCAGGAGGACCCGGCACCGTGCTCCGAGGAGCCGCCTCTCGGTCGGAGGCTCTCGGCTGCGGCAGCCACCCGGCTTCTGGTCACAACTCCTAAAGGCAGTGGTGTTATTATAATAAAAATTGTAAATGTCAGAATTCACCGCATACTTTGAGCCCATGTCATAAGAGGCGAGCTCAGGAGAGAGGTACATGAGTTTGATAGAACTGTGCCCACGCCAGCTCCGGTCAAGGCGCCAGCCGGGCCGACGCTGTCCAAGGTCGGGTGGCTGGGTCCGCTTCCAGCCCGAGTGTGGCTCTTGGCAGGGCTGACTCGTAATTTCCTCCCTATCGGTTCCCTGGGGCGCCTGACACCTTGGCCTCTGGGGGTGGTCCCCACGTTGCAGGTGGTCACTGCAGAGAGAAGGACGGGGGTGCATCTGGCCTCCAAAAGGCCATTCTCACCTGTCATGTTTTATTTCTTAGAAGCCGTCACTAGGCCCGGCCCACACAGGGTGCGGAGACCACACGAGGACGTGCGTTGTGCCTACCGCAGACCCGGACATTTATGGTCTCCTCTCCATAAGAAAAACAATATTTGCAGAGCGCCTTGTCGGCTGTGGACATTTTCCCAGCCTGTCCATCAATGCCCTGCCCATTTCTCCAGGTGCAGCACCCACCCCCACCCCACGCCCAGTTCAGGCCAGTAACCTGGTCTCAGCCAGATTCTGGAGCCTAGAAGGCAGGGTGGAACCCTTGGGGACTCTTCCCGCTGCCAGGTCCCAAGGAAGAAGGCGATCTCTGGCTCTTTTTTTTTTCTTTCCTGAGACAGGATCTCGCTTTGTGCCGTTCAGGCTGACCTTGAACTCGCTATGTAGCCCAGGCTCGTCTCAAACTTGTGGCGATCCTCCTGCCTCAGCTTCTCCAGTGCTGGGATTATAGCCGTGCGCCACCACGTCCCACTGGAGTAATTTTCAACAAGACCCCAGGTAAGTATTAAAATAGGGCAAATGGAGAAGCCCCACTGCCCACCGTCACAGACTCTCACAGGGTTCCTCCCTGGCTGGTCCCACATAGGACTCCTGGGACTGACTGGATAGGTCGGTCCCTCGGGTCCCCACATCCCACGCGGAGAAGCAAGGACACAGCACCAGGAAGACCTGCAGTCACGAAGCCGAAACTCCTTCCGGTACCATGTGGGTTGCCCAGAATCAGAGGATTAGAGATGCCAGATTTAGCAAATAAAAATACAGAAGCCTCATTAAATTTGCATTTCAAATAAGCCACTAAGACTTCTTTAATCTAAGTCCGTCCCAAATGTGACATGAGTACTCTGTATTTTATCTGCCAACCCAGCCAAGTTTCCGAGGAGCGACAGGTCCCCAGGCCCAGGCTGAGGTTCCTGGGGACAGGAGCACCCTCCCCGGCACCCATCTCTGCACAAGCCATACAGGGCAGGAGCAGCCGCAGCCACCGTTCTCCCTAGCAACTGAAACAGGCTTTAGGGAAATGTCCTATACTGCCTCGAGTTGGGTGGTGGCGCACACCTGTCATCCCAGCACTAGGGAGGCTGAGGCAGGAGGATCGCTGTGAGTTCGAGACCAGCCTGGGCTATATAGTGAGTTCCAGGTCAGTCTCAACTACGCAGTGAGACCCTGTCTCAAAAACAAACAAACAAACAAAAATGGGGACTTATTGTCCCATAAGGATGCAGTCTATTTTACCTTAGCCTACGTCCACCAAGACCCTGTTTCAAATAAGGTGGCATTCACAGGGATAAGGACTTCCATGAGCCTTTCTAAGGGACACAATTCAACCCATAGCAAGGGGAATGGGGAAACCAGACCCAGAAAAGGATGTCTGCTATAGATTTTGAGGGGCGAAATGCAGCAACATGCAAAAAGAAATATGTATTAGCGTGATCCCTTTTTAAAGTTAAAAAAATGAGCTCTTACATATGATCGCTTACTTAATCATTGATTCAGTCAACAAACACTCGCAGGGCGCCCCTGGGTATAACAGCGATCTGACAGAGCCCACAGTTCACGTGCGTTGGCCAAAGGAAGGACGCCCAGCACCCTGTTAGGCGACCGCTGAGGAAGCCTGGAAGGACAAAGGTGAAAGGGTTTTTTTTTTTCATTTTCATTTTTTTTCTGCATTGCTTAAATTTTTTATAGCAAGCATGTTATTAATTTGCAAGTCACTAAAAAATGCTTAACCTTTTTTTGAGTCCAAAAATCCAGCCCTTTGGATGCAGCTCTGTTTTCCAGAGTGCGGCGGGGGGACACAGCTGCGGGGCAGTGGCACCCACCTAGGTGGCCGTGGGATAGGGAGCAAGGACCGGCGGATAGGCAGGCACTGCCCAACTGCTCGTGTATTAAAACGTTTAGTGAAGCGGGCATGGTGGCGCACGCCTGACATCCCAGCTCTTGAGAGGCTGAGGCAGGAGGATCGCTGCGAGTTCGAGACCAGCCTGGGCTACATAGTGAGCTCATCGAGGTCAGTCTCAACTACAGAGCGAGAGCCTGTCTCAAAAAACAAAACAAAACAAAAAAAAGTTTAGTGAGTAAAAAATGAGATACCTGTAATTATTCATGCATGGGGGTGTGTATCTGTCTGTCTGTCTCTCCTACTGGACTCTAAATTCAAGCTGACAGTGCCCCATCTGTTTCACACAGCCGTGGGCACGGCGCCTGCCAATGCAGTTGCTCAGGAAGAACGCATCGCATGAAGGAAGCGTACCAAAGCCTGGAGGTCCTGGCCCACGGGAGGTCTGCACTGGCTCCTAGATTTACAGCTGGAAAGACAAAAAGTTCAGGAAAAGTCAAGCCACAGAGCAGTGGCAGCCAGGACAAGACAAGACCCCTCGCCCTACATCCAGGGTGAAACCAAAGCCAAGTGTGGCAGCACACACCTGCGATCTCAGCACTCTGGGAGGCTGAGGCAGGAAGATCACAAGTCAGAGCTCAGAACAGGCAACTCCGGGGCCCTGTTTCAAAACAAAACCCAAAAAGGCTGGGATGTAGCTCAGTGCAGAGGCCCTGGATTCGATCCCCGGTACCACCCCAAAACAAGTAATACTTGCTTTATGGTAAAATCAAGAGGTGCAGCCAGGGTGCAGCTCAGTGGTCCCTGCCTAGCGTGCGCGAGGCCCTGGGTTTGACACCCAGTGCCCACAACACACACAATCACGAACAATTCGAGTCGGAGAAAGCACTGTCCTAACGATCACCAAACAGTTTCAAGCAGTTCTTTCTTCTAACCGTGGCTTTTCCCAGCGGGGCTAAATATTCAACAGATGTTGGGTTTTGTGGGTGCTGATTAATTACACGCCTCACTCCTCCAAGTTCTGATCCAGTTGAGAAATAGTCACAGGAGACGAGCAGAGATTAAAATGTCAGCTTTCGTGCTGGTCCAGATGGGCTGGAGGCTGTGGCGAAGACCCAAGGCCCGAAAGGGCTTCCTATCCCTCTCCCCCGCCTGAACCCACCCGCCCACGCCCGGCACGGCAGCTGGACTATTGAAGTCCTCCCTGCAGAGGCTGGGCAGGAGGAGGGAGACGCGGAGACAGAGCGGGCCAGGCCGTAAGGTCAGGCCCAGAGAGAGGTGTGTGTGTGTGTGTGTGTGCCCGAGCCCAGAAGCCCCACCTCCTCTCAGTGCAGAGCCAGTGCCGGGGGCACCCCGCTTTCTTCCCAATACCCCCAGGAGGATGCCGGTTCCTGTACCAGGGTCTGCCAGGAAAACGGGGCGGGGGAGGCTGTCCCCCTTCACAACCGCCTTTAATTCTTCAGTGACTTCTCGTAGTATCGTGCGCTCCTGTATTCCAGGAGGCAGCTCCAAAGTTTCCGCGTGTGTCCACTGAGTGTGAATTTGCTGCAAAGTACAAAAGTCAGACAATTGGAAACATAAACTACCAAGGGATCTGTTTTCTTCAGGGGGCGGGAAATGCAGACGCAGGCAGGTCTGGGTTGGCGTGAAGGGGCACGATGCCCCCAGGGACCCGATGGCTTCCTGACTCGTCTTCCTTAGAGAGTGGCATTCTCTAGAGTGCTCTCTACCTCTCGCTCCTGTCCACGCTCCTGGCAGAGTAAAGCGGGACAAAGAGATGGTTAAGTCTGTTCTTTTTATCAGAAAAACAATAGCTTTCCTGGAAAACCCATTCAGGAAGCGTGTGACTGTGTCATGTGCCCCCTCGCTCTGAACGGGAAACTTAGGAAATTTATTTTGCAATGAGGCAAAAGTGGATCCTTTTAAATAAAGGAAAAAGAAGAAAGAATATTGACTAGCGGGTGGCCTACCAAAAGGTCACAAAACAGTGATGGAAAAAACAAAATATCATCAAGGAATTGCTTTTTCAAAAAAATCGAGACATTTGCAAACATTTAAGAAAGAGATTATCTCTTTGCAATCAATTTCCAAACATAAAAAGAGAGGAAACTTAGCTCATCTTACAGTAGGCTAGCATAATCTGATACCTAAACCTAATACAGAGAAAGTGCACACTAAATTAATTAAAACTATACGCTGTTATTTTACAAAACGGAAAAAAATCCTACATCTTCCCCTTTCTTAGTTTTTCCTTTGTCTTATTGCAACAAATGCTCAAGTAACTGCCTAAGAAGGCATTAGGGGAAGTAAACTTTCTCAGTGTGTGTATCAGACTTTTTTAACTACCTTCATAGCCCAAAAGACAGTTTAGCTGGGTATCAAATTTTAGATTCAGTCATTTTCCTTCAGGACTTTGAAAACATTGCTGCACTGACGTCCAGAAATCTGGTGCATTTCCCATTTTTTATCCCTTTATCAATGACTTTTTTCTCAGTTGTGTGTGTGTTCTTGATGCTAGGGCTCAATGAGCCCTGTAGGTTGGAAGACTTGAGTCTTTTTGGTCTGTGAAATTCTATTCAATTATGTATTCTGAAAATTACCCCTTCCTCCCTTCTCCCCGCAGTACCTATTAATCAAACATGGACCTCTTACTTTTTGTGTCTTTATCCTTTCTCTAATAAAATTCTGTTTCTCTCTCTCTCTCTCTCTCTCTCTCTCTCTTTTTTTGGGGGGTGGGCTTTATTGTCTGAAAGATTACCTTGACCTTAACTTTTAACATTTCCAGACAATTGTGAGTGTGTGTGTGTGTGTGTGTGTGTATGTATATATATAATATCTTCATATTCCAAGGGTACTTTTGTTCCCTAATCATCCCTTTTTCATAACAATACTCGTGTTTTATAGATACGGTATCTTCCTGCGTTTCTTTTTAAAGTTCCCTTTTGGCCATGAACCGCCTCTGATTCCTCAGAGGTCTTACTTTCAGTTTGTTTATCTTGGTCTTTCTATTTCATATTTCAGGCTTCCTAGATTAGCTCTGGCTTATGGTTGTACATTCATATTTAAGGGGGAAAAAAAGCAGTAGAAAGTTTCCTGGATGCTGTGTCTGAATAAGGAGAGATGAATGGTGGGCTTTGTTCACGGGCAATCTGGCCTTTGTTCATTGAAACGCCTAAACGTCAGCCTGCAATGTGCTTTGTTCTAAGACGCCACCGTAAAAGCCAGCTGTCCTCGTCTGCCACAGATTATTCAATTTCTTTAAAGAAGACCCTTCCTTGGGGAGGAAGGGCTGAAAAGGAGCTGACCCTGCCTGGGGAAGCAGGGTGCGTACGAGGTCAGGGAGACCCACAGACTTGCAGCAAAGTCCCACCGCTCCTGAACCCAGTGCCCCCAGGTGCTGAGCTTCTCCAGGCTTCCATGGACAGACCCGCTCCTGCGCAGGCCACCGGTGCTACCTTCCTCTGTCCTTAGTCACTGTGCTCCCTCCCGAAATGGGCTGGGAATCCTCCCATCCACAGGTGCCCGTCCCTTTCTTCCTCTTTGGGAGGATTTATGTTTCTTAGTGCGTTTCTGGAGGAAGCGGAAATAAGCCCGTGTGCATTAGTCAGTCTCCTCACCTCCCTTCCGACAGAGAGGGGTGGACGTGGGCGTGTTTCCCTTTATAGTATATGGGGTGCGATTAAAATACATGGGGAATGCTTAGATATTTTAAAACTCATTACACGGAAAGTCACACCACCATCAAGTCCCCGTCCCCGACACTTTGAACGCACTTGTCTCGGCCTGTTCTCCACTTTCTGAAGCAGGTCTGGAAGTCCTCTCTCACAGGTGGCGCCGTGGTTCAGGATGTCTTGAACGGACTGAAAAACATTTCCCTTCCACGGTCGTTTTGACTTTGGGGAGGAGCCAGCAGTCCCACGGTGACAGAGCCACAAGGTGGATGAGGCGCGCTCGCGAGGCAGGCGGTGGCACCACTGAGCTAAATCCGCAGCCCAGCAGTGTGATGTTTTCCAGGCCTGCTTTTCTGTCAGATGGCGCTCGGCGGCAGCATTCACTGTATTTCTGATCGTGCCTCATAAAGACCGGGAAAAGAACTTACAAACCTGCTTCGGAAATGGCAAGAGGGACAGATAGACGTGTTTGGAGCACAGGGGAGTATTCTGAGGGATTCACGGCCATGCGTTTTTACTGCAAGAAATATTTTTTACTTAAAACACACTATCTCAGGCTGTGGAGTTAGCTCAGTGGCAAAGTTCCTGCCTGGCGAGGACAAGGTCCTGAGTTCAATCCCCGGTACCGAAAAACAAGCAAACAAACAAACAAAAAACATACTTTTGATCAGCCCTTGTGTATGGATAGACCTGAGTGAACTGTGTAGTCTTTCTAATCAATGGGACACATAAGAAATTAAAAACACGCCCAGACACGGAAGAAAAACTTTTTTGTTACATATCACATTTCAGTGTCTGAAATGTTTGATTATATTTTAAATGTAAGACTAAACTCATCTGTGTCCTTAAATCACCTCCTCAAAACCCTGAGAATTTTGTAGAATATACTCAGGAAACCACTGGCATGTTAAAAAAAAAAAAAACAAAAAACAAAACTGCGCATGGAATTTGGGTTTAAACAAACCTGATTCAAATCCTGATTCAACCATCCCCTTCCTCCACGGGTTCCGCTCCCCGGCAGGACCGACCTCCTCGGATTGCTCAGCACCTGGTGATGAATAGGCGCTCAATAAATGCTAATGGATGTGGTGGGGCACACCTGTCATCCCAGCCCTCAGGAGGCTGAGGCAGGAGAATCACTAGCTATGAGCTCACAGGGCTACACGGTGAGACCCTGTCTCCAAAAAACAACAACAACAGCACCGGGATGGAGCTGAACTGCAAGGGGCCGACCTGGCTCCCAGCAGCCTCCTTCACCCACCGCCAGGCAGAGACAGGAACCCCAAGCCATGACCCGGGCGGACAGATTCTGACTTGTCCCGTGCGAATACGTCGTTCCTTTCTTGCTGTCATAATGACCTCCACCCCCAGCCGGCGGCGTTGCCAAGCGGAGTAAACAGCTCCTCTCCACCAGGCACAGCTGGAGCTGGCTCGTCCCAGCCCCGCCCCGCCCGGAAGACAGGGCTGGGGAAGAGACGGCTGGACCGGGCCAGCTCACCTGGAGTTTTCCGAAGGCTCAGGCTCGGGGCGTGACGGGCGGCCTCTCGCTCAGATGACTTACTGGGCTCCGGGGCAGGGCGCACAGGGTGCTCTCTCTGCTCTTCTTTGCCCCCCAACAGAGAGGACGCAGCCCGAGTCACTTGTCCCCCACCGTCACTGACAAAGCACCGCCCAGAGTCCAATCTCCAGGCCGCTGCCCAGGATGGTGACCCTAAAATGATCATTTCTGAGCTTGTTTACTGAGTTTCTTAACCCTGGTGAGAACCGGCCGTCGAGTTTCTTCTCTCCCTCTGCCCTGGGTCTTGTTCCTGATCTTCCTTCCTTTCCCATATTTCTTCTCCGTTCTACATGACAGATCCCTAAGGAAGACTCCAGTATGGTGGCCACGCTAGGCTTCACACAAGAATGAGGTCCCTCCTGCCGCTCCTATTACTTCGTTTAACATTCACAGCCCCCCACACCCAGGGGTGGCACTGTTACCCCCACTCTGGAAATTCAAGGAACCGGCACACGGGCGGGCCCTCCTCCGCCAACCCTGCCCGGGGGAGACGTTGCTGGCAGCCGGAGCGCCTTTCCCCTCCTGGGTGTTCTCTGAGGCGAAGGCGCTGAGTGACTCAGGCTTTGTGGAAAGCCTTCTCCCGGGTGTGGTGGATCCTCCTCCACGATGGCCCCATGAGGTAGACATTCCACAGGGACCCACTCATCCCGCAGCGGGAGGCTGGGGGCACTGGGAGGGCGGAGGGTCACGACGTGTGGCCAGGGGACTCCCAGGACAGGGAGGCAGGGACCTCACAGGAGCAGGCTGGGGGTCATGGTCCCCTCGCATCGGTGCTGTTCAGAGAGGGAAGGTGCTGTCTGCAGCGGCGCCCCCTCCAGCACCAGGAGACCGTGGCCCCCTTTCACTGTGAGGAAACCGAGGCCGCAGAGGAATCCGCACCAGGCCAAAACTGAGCCCTTCCCACTTTCCACGGCCCCCAAAGCTTCCGGAAGCTGGACCCAGCCCCACATCCCGCACCCCATTCCCCAGGCCCATCCCAAATGGGTGTCGCAGAGGGGCTTTGACAGGTCTTGCTTTTCTGGGGCCACCAAGGGACTCTGGGCTTGGGTTCTGGGCTCCCTGGGGCCTGGCAAGGGAAGTCATTAAGCCACTCTGTGGATTCCAGTGTGGCTTCTCTCTGAGGCTCCCCTCCCCACCCCCATACCCGAATCCCTGACCTTTCTCCCTCTCTGACCCCCATGGGTCTGCTCAGCCGAGTTGGAAGGCTGGCTGTCCCAGGCCCTTCTCTGGGGAGCCTGGGGCCTCCGACACAGCCTGCCCTGGACTCTGATGCCCCACTTGGGGGGACTGGTGTGTCTGACACCCTTTCCTCTTCCCTCAGCTGCCTCACCACACGGCTGGTGAGGACACCAAGCCAGCACACGGAACGGCGTTGTCATGGTTCACAGCTCACACCGGAGAGAGCCTGTCCTGGGCAGACAGGATGAGCTCGAGCCAGAGCCTGGGGACAGATGGTGGCAGGAAGGGCAGGCCAAGAGAGGCCCAAGCTCTCCGGTCCCCAGCAGCCACACGTCCCTGACCTCATTCACAGCCACAACAGGAGGTGGGTTATGGGGCTGCGTGGCTGAAATGGGCAGAGAGGACTGATGGGCCCAATGTCATCCTGAGTCCCTCTGGGCCAAGGAGACCAGAGCCAGGGCCCGCAAGTCCACCCCCATGCCATACGCGGGGTTCCCTGGGAGCCTCGAGAGTCACTGAAAACAAGGCCTCTGGGCAGAAGGACCCTTGCCCTTGGGGATCCCTGCCACAGGGGAGACCCGGGTCCCCCCAGGACTCCCTCCTGGGCAGCACAGGGCAGAGTAGGGCAGGACTGCTGGGGGGTGCTGGAGGGGAAGCGCTGCCCTCTGCCCAGGAAGCCCTTCCAGGGACCATGAGTCAGAGGCGGGAAGGGAGGGATGGCGGGCAGGGCTCTGTTCCCTCGCCCAGCACACAAAGCCCAGGGAGGGTCCACACCTCCAGCCGGGCTGCTGGCCTGCAGCGTCCTCCCAGGCGGGTGCTCCTCAGGCAGACCCAGCGCCCTCCTCCCACCCGGCACACAGCCCTCAGCAGGCTCGGGAAAGAGAGCAAACCTCCCACAAGGCGTTTCCCACAGCCAGCCGCGCCTGCACCTCCACTGACACCACCCTGGGGCGGCTCCCTCTCAGACTGCCAGGCTTGGAACCGGGCTGGCTCTGCTTTCCTCCTGCAGTCCCCTCCACCACCCTTCAGACGTGCTACAGCCTCACGGTTTTCACAACATAATGTCACCACCCTACTTCAAAGGCGCTATTGACCCCCACAGCTCATGGGTTAAATCCAAAATATCTAGCAGGGTGCACAGGGCTGGTGCCTGACACCTCTCAGCCTTGGTGGTGGGAGCCCTGCATTCTCATTGCACCAGCTGTCCTGAGGTTTCTTCAGCTCTTTGGATCGCTATTGCTCCTACCTCAGGACCTTTGCACTTGCAGCTGCCTCTACCTGCAAACTCTCCTCTCTCCTTCATTCCCTTTGCCTGGCTAACTCTATTGTCTTAAGATCTGGGCCCACTGGGGAAGGCTTCCTGTTGCCCAGAGGCAGGTTTTAGCATCTTTCACAGTCCATAATGAAACACTGGCATGGTGGTTTCATCCACGTCTACCCTGAACCCCAATTCTCTCCCGCTTCTTGCTCCCCGAGGGCTGGGATTCGGGAAGAACTTGAGCAACCGTCAGCCCTGCCCTGTGCCAAAGACAGAGAGGAAGGGCGTGGAGCACACTCACCTGGAAAGAGAAAGCCCAGGAGTATTTGGGAGAGACCTCAGGTGGTCAGAGGCAGGAAATGAGCTGCCAAGGCAGTTGAGAACGGAGGGTGCAGATCAAAGCCACAGGAAGTGGGCTGGTTTCTTCGGTAAGGGAAGAATCTGATCAAAGCCACACTTTCCTGTCTGGGTGGGGCAGGCAGTTCATTCACTTATCCACTTGGATCCGTGCAAATCACACAGTCCCTCAATAGTTATGGGGCACCTGTCTATGTGGGAGGCACAGTGCCCAGGGTGGGTAAAAGTGGGCCGGGTGCCCCTCGTCCGGGTTCACAGGCATCCAGCCTCCCGCCTAGACCACCGGCCACTGCAGCCGCAGTCCAGGTAATGAGTCACAGGCAGCAGTTTTCAAAATGCAAACAGAATGGAGCAGAAAATGTCAGCAGATCCCACACAAGAGGGAGACGAACCCGGTTATGTGTGTGTTAGGAGAGCCGGGTCCCCGCAGAAGAGGCATTTCTGAACTGTAGGTCACAATCAAGGAAGAGTTTGGAAAACTTCAGACTAAGCATTTTTTAAAATAATTCCACGTCCACAGGCCTCATCGGCATTAACAAAGCCAAGGATAGGGAGCATGAGGAAATATTCAGAGCCCTGTGGGACAGGAGACCAGTAGCACCCATGTGGGCCGGGCCAGGACGGTGGGCAGGGAGTCCTCCCTGGGGCAGGAAGTCCTCTCTAGGGTCAGGTGTCGGGATAGGAGGAGGAGGAGGGGAGGAAGGAGAGGCAGAGGGCATGCTGACGTGGAGGCGTGGGACGCGGGCCTGTCACGGGAGCCGTGGAGGTGGAGAGGACAACAGCATGGAAAATTTG